GGGGGGGGGTAAGGGGAAAAATCGCTAAATAACTAGCGGCTAAGGGCTAAGATATGTTATTGGATGTGTTTTACGTATCGAGGGTGACTATGCATGCTTGCATATCCCTTACTCCGTAACTTACCCAAACTGGTAAGCAGAAATGCCTAATCAGGTTTGGCCTTAGTTCTCTCGGCAATCAAAAACGGTAGAAAATGGTCAAAACTGGCAAAAGCTAATCAAAACTGGTAGAACGCAACCTGCCAAACCTGATCAGGCGATTCTGCCTACTTGGTTGTGTCAGTTACGGAGTAAGGGATATCGTTTGATCCATTTGATCACTTGTCTACAACAACAACAACTAGTCAACTGATTATTGTGATACGCGTACAAACAGGAGTTTCTTCTTAAAAAGGCTGGTCCTTCGTCAGAATCAAAGTTGCAAATACTCCCCTTCAAAGTGAATTCGATTATTCGACAATATAACTAGTTACTAAGTTATTACTATAATAAGATAGGTTTTCCAGAGACATATTAGGTAGGGTAATTATAATAATAGTATATATCCCAAGTCTTTACTAAAGCAGTATGAATCTATCCCTCCTCCCCCCTCTTTAGTGTTACTTGGTTGATACCTACATTTACTAAATAGTAGAGGGATTTAGGCGACAAAGCGATTACTCCGCTTTGACAGGTAGAGATAGACTTTTGCTGCGTGAATCCATGAACGTTAACTCTGCACAGTCCACATATGAAACTTCACTCAAAGATTGTATAAAGTTAGCTTGGGTTCAACAACAATAGCAGAAGATCAACTGTTAAACAAACCCCTACGTATATTTAGCTACCCACTTACCCTTCTCTGAACCTTTCACAATCGGATTTATCAACGTTTGGGATTAGCAACATCACCAAACCATCGTATCCTATTCCTTAGATTTCGGAAATTCAACAAACAAGTAAATCAGCAGACAAAAGATACGCAAGACCAACCTTTACACAATTCTCGTCATGGGCCCGGAAACATTAGGAGAGACATACAAAGGCTACAAAGCCAGAACCACGGAGTTCCTGGACTGGCTCTCATCCAGCGCTGTTGATCTCGGCTACCAGTATGAGAGATCCCGGCGGGCTTCCTCAACAAGTTTCATGGACCACGCTATCACAACCAGGGAAGTTATCAAACAAGCGAGGTTTCTTGTCAGGAAACATGCGACGGGGATCAAAGTTCCAGTGTGTATCCAGAACTCCTTGTATGAAGCTATCGAGGCGCGGAAACTCTGCAAATCGTGGTACGAGAGTTATGCATCACACGAAGAGGGGTTCAAAGAGTCAAATAGTCGCCATTCATGGTTCATCGACATACTGGAGGAGACCTTCGGCTCTTACTGCCCATCTTTGAAGAGCCACCGACTCCTGACGAGAAGAAGAAAGGCCGAAAATCGAAGAAAAACAAGAAAGGAAAGAAGCCAGCTGTTCAGGAAAGTTCAGGAAACAACATCATCCCTCCAGCTTGTTCGTCAAAGATTTCAAAATATTCATGTTGAGGAGACCGATCGTCAGCCATCCACCGATGTAGAAGGTTTGGAGGAAACGGTGAAGTCTGCTTTGGTTCTGTCCGAGTCGAAATCCGACGATATCCCGAAGGAAGACATTCGGAACATGGCGGATATATCCTTCTGGCTTGGTGTTTTTTCAAGGATCAAATGCGAACGAGAAGATACCTGAAATCGATTTGGAAAGATTGTTCCCAGGGAAAGCTAGATCGGATGGCGGCTTCGATTACCACTGATGTCGCCCTCGAATTGATCGCAAAGGACGAAATCGAGTTGGTACAAAATATCATGAACATCAATCCACCAAAGCTCCACCGTGAAGAAATCATGAAGAATTCATATCATTACATATACTTCGAAATGTTCTTCTTAAACAGTGAAATCGACGGACCAACACCAGAAGAGTCTGAAGATCTTATCAACTATCAGACATTTCAATCGTTGTGGTATGCTTCTTCACACTTTGTCATTCCTAGCACCTCTTTACCATCAACCACCAAATATCGCGAGAGGAATTATCGAGGGAATGTTTCAGAAAAGTCAAAAGCGGAGGATGAGTTTCTGATGAAGTTTTTCCATGAATTGTCAGCAAAGATACACACCAATAAGCACACTGTATACCCAAAGCTGGACCAAAAACCACCCTTTCCCTTCGGTGTCGAAGACAGAATCATAAGATGCTTACAAGATATTATCGGAACAAAAACCGTCACAACTGCTGCCGTTTTTGCCGCGCGTATTCTTCTGGATATTCATGAGATCCTGGGTCCTAAAGTTGTTGAGTCATATCGGGACGTTCGCCAAAGAGCTGCAATTATAAAACGAAGGTTGAAAATCGAATGGGACGGCCTGGATGTTACGTCTCAGGAAAACCCTTGCTGTGGCAACAGACGAGCGTCACAGTGTGCTTTGAAAACTGTTTTACGTGCTGAAATAAAACACAATCCAATGATTCACTGGAAATTATTCTGCATGACCATGGTGCAGAAGAAATGAAGCAGCTAGGGGAGCGCTTTATTCTGGCCGCGCAAGAACCGTACTATTTCTTCAACAACAATCCCGTTCAATGTGGCATGCAAGGCATGAAAATTCTCATCATGTCTACCACTGAGTACATGCATTATTCGAATTGCTTCTCATCAATTACAACAGTAGCACATATCTATAATCTTATCAGACAATCTGGCTATTCTGATCTGATATGGCCAGAGATGGATAAGGTTATAGATGCTAATATGAGCAACATCTTCCACGGAAGCCTCCCAACAACCGGAAAGACAGTTAGATCGCGGTTCCTTATCCTCTTCAAAGCCCCTGCAAGCGAAATTGCAAGATACGGTGGCTTCCCCGAGCTGAAATATGGCGCGAAAGAGACTCTCGTGATGCCAGAAATTTCAAAACATCTCTTAAATTACATCATGAGAAAGGATTTTCAGACTCGAGGAGTGGAAGAATTCCTACACAGTTCTGATAGGCTGTGGAAAAAAGCATACTTAAACGAAAAAGACACGGGATCGAGGCTGGACCTCCTCAAACATATGAAGGAGAATATTTGCGATCTTTTGAAAGTCATCGACCTCGAATATTGTATATTGGGTAGGGTCTGTTTCGAGGTGATTTGTCGTCTTGGATGGGAATTGCGAGGTCAGAAATACAATAATATGGAAGACGGGACGCTTAATTGTACCATCATAAAGGAATTCATGAGGAAAAACCTGACTGATATTGCTCCACTTTTCCTTGATCTCGAATCCGACTCCATTCCGAAGATCGATCGGCGCCATAGGCTTGCGGCGGAATCGATCATGGGGGCCATCGGAGTATCACGCCAAGATACCCTTGAAGACATCGCAACGCCCCCATTAGAGGCCGATTCAAACAACATTTTTAAGCTAGGGCCAAGTATATGATGTACTCCTCTTGAAGCTCTTTTCTGCGAGAATCGGACAAGAATACAAAGGATAAGAAGCGCAGAAAGTTTGTGGGGCCTTTGGGTCATGAAACAGAAGAGTACTTGGTAGATAAGCATCAGATAGTGAAGAATAAACAAAAGCCAAAAGGATCTGGCATAATGGGATAGCGTATCTAGATTTCCACATGAACTTGGTGCTTACTAATCTTGTAGACAGTATCAGGTAGATTGGTTTGGAAAGGCAGTCAGGCGTAACTCTGTATACAAATACCGGATTAATTGGTATACAACATACCATATAATAATAAAAAAGCAGCGTTGGAAAAAAATAATCAACTAATTTATTAATACTCTGAATTATTCAGATTTGATTTGATTTGATTTGATTAACAGGTCTAGTTGATTTGATTTGATTAACCGATTTAGTTAATCAGATTATTAATTGATTAATATAACTTATACTATAAATAGTAACTAAAGTACAAAGTAATTGTCCTTAAATAACACGTCTTTTAGTAGTGTATCTTGTCCTTGTCTACCTACGAAACACCCCCTAGTGCCCCTATCTTTTTAAGCTTATTACTAGTATTGCCTAAAGAGTCTTCTTTGTTATCTAGATCCTAGTTAAGGTGGGTCATATAATTACACGTGACTATATATAGTACTATAAGCCTTCTACTAAAGTAAGGGAATAGTCTATATAACTAACTAGTGAAGACTTTTAATATATAAATATTTTAAAAACTTACTTATACTTTATATAGGGAGGTCGGACTATCCGGGACTCTACCCCGAGGCTCGGACCAACCGGACTCCGATTAATATGAATTATTTAGAATTAATTAGATTACTTAGCGATTTGATTTGATTAATTGAAATATTAATCTGATTTGATTTAATTAAGTACTATTAATCAAATCAAATCAAATCATTTCTAACGCTGTCAAAAAGTCTGTCAAATGACGAAAATAACCGTATCTTATTTGAAAAGTGGTACCTGATAAATATAAAAGGTGGTTTTTATAGAAATAAATATAAATACTAGTTTATGTTCACTCGTCAGTCGGTACACGTCACATCAAATGAGGCTTATTGTTGGTTTTCTTTTGTATTTCTGGCTAGCTTCAAGTGCTTATAATTCGCCCACATAGAAGTCGAAAGCGAGGAATAAGCACCCTCAGCTACGCACCCCTTGCGGGGGCAGTTTGACTAAATAAACGCCAAGTACTCGGACTTCGACAACATTATAGACCAATGGAAAGGCTGTATCTGGCAGAACACGAATTATAAATTAGGGCGAAGCTCTGCCCACATATAGAGAAAGCTCCAGCTAACCAGGAGGCTCAATAGTGGATTAGCGGAGCAAAGAGAGCAAGAACGCTCAAGAGTAAAAAGAACCAGACAACATATCCTTAACTCGCGCTAGTACGGCGAGTTACTCGCGAGGGATATGTGAGTAGGACAAAAGGGCTCACAATAGTGTAGCTGACGACATGGTGGATATGGTGGATATGGTGGTAGTATTAAGGAATGGTACTAGCAGTAGGGTGGGATATATCCCACCGTGGCTTACTAAGCAACCCCATCCTCATTCACTATAAATCCTACCAGGATAAACTTAATAGCGACACTAAGGACGAGTTTATACTAGCCTATAAGATATAAAAGTATTCGGGTAGAGTCTTAATTGATTTCTCTTAATTTTGTTCCTAAACGAAGGCTATAATGAGGGCTAATTTGGTGGGATTCTATTAGCTAAACTCATAAGATAAGATTCTTGGTCTAAGTTAAAAACTTCTCTCTTATCTTAAATCATCTTATAAGTTATGCATATTTCACCTAATATACCAATTAATACGGTAGGGTTGAAAATATATTATTCTTAAGGTCTCGTACAATTAAGATAATTCTTCTAGGAATTCTAGTATAATAGTTTATTTGGTTGTGGCCAGAGTTCCACACAACTGTCTCACATGTAGCTGAGCCATGCGCTTCGCTCTCCCACAGCAATACAATCTCCTATGTCAACAATACTCATGTCAGATTACAGAAAGCAGTGGCAAATCTTGAATCTTTGTTTGGAAGATTTCATCTATGTAATTAAATACCAAAAGTAGGAACATCGAAATTCGAATTGTTCAAACTGAAGGTAGCTCCAGCTGGTTAGATCTTTACAGGCGTGAGATAGAACCACGTAGCATTTGAGTATCCTACCCGGCTGCTGACAACTCCCCCAGTCCCATCTTCATCCTTTTCCATATTCATGGCAATAAATCTTCCTGGACATCCAACAGACCCAATAGACAGCGCGTTGCTCTCCGCCTTCAAGCGTACAAAGTAAAAGTGTGACCGCGGATCGTCAGCCTGTTCACGAACTTTACATGACACAGTGTATAGACCAGGGCCATCACAGGTGACATGCAGATATCGGTCTTTCCAATGAGCGCTTCGAAGGGTCATTTGGCTACCAATGTGAAGACGACCTCCCGAAACGGGTTCCGCGATGAATGCTAAGTCGAATCCAATGGTGTCATTGTCTGTATGAAGGAAGGGATCAAGTTTGCCGTTGGATTTTGCTCTGAGGAAGGTTCTTTGGCGTCCGACGGCTGCTGATTCGATTGCAATTGCTGTCTTCGGTTGGTCGACTTTGTTGAGGTCGTCTGGATTAATGTACACAACGGAAGACATTGCGAAGAATGGATTTGGTCGGAGGGTTGAACTCTTGTTTGGAATACTACAAAGCTTTAGTAGAGTCTTCTATATCGCATAATTTCAAAGTGATAGGGAGATAGTAACAATTCATTCAGCGGCCACCGGATCGACCTGGTGGTTGGCTAAATGAGAATCTGTTGCCAAAAAAAGCAAGATGCCTCCACAGCGGACCTCATTTCTTAACGGTATGGCAAGCAGAAGCCATCTTCCTCGGGAGGGCTACGAGCAAAGGAACTGCTTACCCGAGAGCCTCTCGCTTAGATACGAGCTGGTGTGAGGTAAATAGGCGCAGAACCAGTAGGGTGTTAGAACATGTACCGTAGTTGAATTTTTCCAGATTGGACGTCATAAATTGGAAATAACCCGAGGATCCTGTAGTTGGCTACCAACTCACTCATCGTTACGCCTCACGTGAGAAGTGATAGTGAATATAGAAGTTCAACAGCCAAAAGAACCCCCAAACATAACTCCCCAAAGATTTCACTGCTTATATATCTCACTCTGGTGGAGTTTACCATAAGAGACCAACGGTTTACAATAATAAACGTTATTGTTTACAGTAAGTATGGCGATCATTTAATGGGTGCTGTCTCAATATGTTCCTCATATCGCTTCAGTATTTTGTCTTGGCGTCTCTGCAAAGCTAACGGAACGACAAGAAATGCTGAAGCCACAAAACAAATTAATACTACGATGGCACTCTTGTCTTCTGATCGGAACCTTTCTCCACTCGAAACTATTGACTTCACCGGATATGGAGATGGTAGTTCATAAGGATGGATTTCATTAATCCACGATGTTGTATGTTAGTCGAAGAAGACGGTGATATTGGAAGGAGTGCAACATAATCCAAAAATATCGCGGTAATAGTATAGAAAGCTTAGATAAAAGTAATCCGAATAGCATTCTCACGCTAAATGGAATCGTTACTCACAAAACCTCAAAAAGATGAACACTATTCAACTCAAGATGCATTCTGAAGATTTGCCAGGAAGAGTGCAATAGGTCTTCACAAAACTATCCACACTCTTGCATAGAGGCAGCTCATTCCGCGTCGACGGAAGCGTCAAGTACAATATACTTCATGTAGGTATCTAGAGTAGCTCGAGCATTAGACGATGAGCCCAACATGCTTCCAAGATGTCGATGAGAATATAGTATCGTTCTACCCCGCGCACTTGTAAAATCACAAGGCTCTAATTGAAAGTCACGCCAGCAAAGTCTAGGTTTCCTCCCTCGGTTATTATGGACCGGCGTTACCCCTACGCGGCTGAATGAACAGTTCAGAGCAAGGGCATCAACTTTCAAAGCGATCATCGAATCCTGCCCGTACAGTATAGATCTCATGACGGCAAACCTTCTTTGAGAACAAGCCCAATCACCGAAAATCGTCGACGCCTGGCCCTCCACTCTAGTAATCTTCCTCAAAGCTCCTTTATCCTATTCTTGTTGTCAAAATATTAGTTGCTGTCGAAGCAAAAGCAAAATTTGCCATTGACGTTTGACAACATACCTATCTTCAGTCCGCTGAACAAAGAGTGGGGGTTTCTCTGTTTGAAACTGGAATGACTAATTTCCGGTGATCTTTTACGTCTTATCACGCCGGAGGGAATCTGATCGAATGAGAACCAAGTGCTTGAGTGTTGAACATATGATAATAGGAAGTTTAGGGGCCTTTTATCTTACCTAATGGCTGGATTATTGTGGGTTTATCTCATCAACCTACGGCATTTAATTCAATTAAGAGATCAGCCCAAAGCCCATTGGATTGTGTCTGAGAATCTCATGTTGCTAGAAAGTTTGTGGATAGCTTTGCATTGTCTTACTGGTTTGATAAACGGAGAACCATGTGGCTATAGTATAAAGCTTTCCGTTCCTCCCTTGGTAAATGACCTGCGGGCATACGAGTTGATCCTCCGACAGATAAATCAATCAACACAGATAATTACTCCTAGCAAATACTTTGATAAAGCACCGAAATGATATCCAATGTTATAAAAAATGCCTACTCAAAGCTAACTGTTTTCTGAAAGGCTTCTTTCATCCTCAATACCCAGATAGAATGTATCGCAAAGCTCTCCGAGTGAGGGTGTTTAAAAAGACTGGAAGAATACTATGCCTTGACCGCCTTCAATTTATGTGGCAGATCTCACTACTACCTCGTACCTGATTCAGAAATAAGAAAACAATAACCGACTCCAGAATTCAAAATCTGCGAGACACAAAACACTTGTGAGCAGACGTGGTTGCCCAAACTCCCACGTCTCAAAGATTGTTTTCTGTAGCGATGTTTTGGATCTAATATGGAATAGAGCGATCTCTCAAATAAAACTCTAATCCACCGAAGTGTAAGTGCTACCCACCAAAATCTTATACTTTGTGCCGACTGATCTGCTCTGCTTCTCCCGTATGTAACCTTCAAGAGACCATCTTGCCATGTTCAAGACTGACTATGCGCCGCAACTTCTCCTTCAGCTAGTCAATTAAAGACTTTCATCGTCTAAAGTAGGAAATCAACCAATCCCACTGTCGAAAGTAATCTTGCTGTCATAAGCGGCTCAGCACACATACCCGGAACTAACCTTGGTCTTCGTACTTTGCATTTCTGAAGTGTACACAGATCATCCGTGCATGAGTTACTTTCGAGGGCAGTGGGGGTAGACACTGCTCAACAGCGGAGGTGACACGATGACGTGTTCGGATTCTGTCCAATTGAACGACGGCAATAATTGGATCTATTCTCATGATTCAAGTAGGCAGTTCATATTGCCAAGGAGGGTGGGGAAATTTTGATCAACTGTAGGGAGAAGCAACCGGGCTTTCTGGAAGATTAAACGACATCACATGTTGGTTTCGGAGGAACTTCCTTTTCTGCCAACAGTTCTCTTGTCCATGATAAAGTAGTTCATGCAGAATATATTGAACTTTTAAAAGGTCTCACCATAGGCTAAACCGTTAATCAAGATACGTCATCGAAATCCTTCGTGTTAACTAGTATAAAATCCCTTGCCATTTACGGCATCCCGAATCTACTACTAAACTAGATAACTAAATCGCAAATCGCAAAAGTTACTATTGAGGTTATTTTATAGGAAATCGTAAGTCGTAAATCGCAAATCGCAAAGTAGCTTAGGGTTAGGGTTGTATACTAGCGCTAGAATTAAAGGTAAAACTACTCGATATAAGTAAATAAGCTTAAATTTAACTCGAACGCTTCTTCCCTCGAATTTAAACCGAATTCTCCTACCCTCGAATATAACTCGAATGCTCCTTTAATTCCTCCTCCCGCCCCTATACTCTACCCCGCCCCTATACTCTACCCCGCTCCCCCTAACGGGGGTCTCCCCTAGCTAACAAATACACCTATATCCCCTCTTGTTATTATTACTACTATCGTTAATCGTTATCGCTATCGTTGTCGCTATCGTTATTATAAAGAAAGAGAAGAGTAAGTAGGAGAGAGAGGGAGGAAATGTAGGTAGTAAACAATTGTTAGCGTAACATGTGCTAGCCTAGCTATTTTAGGAAGGTAGTATTCGAGGCTAGGATAAGCGATACACACGAAAATATTTCCCCGCTTCTATCCTCTCCGCTGCTCTCTCTCTCTCTCTCTCTTAAATACCATACTAGGGCGTAACCCTTTATACAATAGCAAGGGTACGACAGCGAGGGTAGCGAGTATATACACGAAAATTTTAAGCCTATAAAGTTTAAGCGAGGGTAGGGTGTAGGGCTGTCGGGGTATAAGCGTTTAGCGGCTTACAAGGATTATTGTGAAGGTTGGAACCCATGATGGAGGCTCGGGCCATGCCCTCGCTAAGCACTGACCAAAGTCCCTGCTTAGCACTGGCCATTACCCCACTGCCAAACAGGTTTCTACTTTTCCACACTTTCTTGTTTTGTTCTTCTGACATCATGTATTCGTCATTCAAGTTTCTTGCAAGTTTCTTGGAATATTCAGGAAGCTCTTCCTCTCTATATATAGAGGAAGAGCTCGCATGTATGTAGTCTTCACGCACTTGTTAATTGAATATTCGAAACCATACCTTTGAGCTATTCGAGGTCTGGCCTCTCACAATTGTATATCTTTGATTTAAGTTTATACTATAATCCTGTCCCTTTGTCACGAATCACGTGTTCACGTGATACCTGTCATAATAAGAGGCGCAACCCTCGACAGGCACATCCAGGTTTCTTATAGCAAATAGGGATCGTTTGGAGTAGCTAAGCGATCCAGGGATTTCTCTGTATTGTTATCACGTGATATTAGGAGTTCGCCAGTTAGCCGGGCGAACAGGCGACGTTAGCCAGTTCGATTGTCGAACGAGCGAACATCGAGAGAACGAAGGTTCTGTATAAGACTGGCACGTCTGCCATTAGATAGGAGCTTCGTGCTCAACTTAGTTATCAATCTTATCAAGTCTTCTTCTTATCATAGCATACCAACCAGCGAACACCCAGCCAAGTTTAGTTAGCCAGTTTGAGTATTCGTTACATATAAGAAGATGTTGTGCTGGGTCTACTTTCTCTTTTGCTCCACTTCCTTATTTGATCCACTTATAGTTCTGCTGCCTAAATGCTTTGTCACGGATGCCAACAAAGGATAAAGTGTATACAGCTTTTGAATCAATTGCTAGAACTAAAACCGTAGGTACGAAGAAATCAAACTAAAGAGAGAAGAGAATCTGAAAGGAGCGAAGTTATTTAAGTTGTTCCAATGCCAAGTCTCGTCACGTGCTTGGCCAAGCGAATGAAATCCTGTCAAATGAAATCCAGCTCCGTCACATGCTTCATGTCTGCCTAAACCTTACACTCTTTATATAAACACCTTAGATAGCTACCTTTTACAATGCAATCAATTCTCCATGACCTTCAGTACCCAATACCCTTTCAACCCAATAGAAGAATATAAAAGTTATAGTCTAGGGGTGCTTTTAAGACCGCGGGAGGACTAACCTATATATTATAGACCGAGATTTTAAGTCTAAGAAGTATAGGTATAGCGTAGAGAGCTACCTCGAGGTCCTCGAAACGGAAGTAGCTCTAATATTCGAGAAGTTAGAGTAGGGGGGTAGGGGGAACCTCTTTATATAAGATAATACCTCTATTTATACTACTAGGAATGTGACGGTTATGGTCACGAGGGCTGGATGTCACATGCTCGCTTAGCGAGGCGCTAGCGCGCACGACCTGTATTTAGTTCCCAGCTCACTAGAGCTCTCCTTCTTTCCTCGTCTTTTGTCCTAAGAATAGAGTGTTAATTGTTCTGAGTTCTACCTGAAGCACGTCTGTCACAAGGAAGGTTAGAGACTAGTTTACGCTTTATAGGATCGATATTCTAAAAGGATAGCTACCCTACTCCCCTTATCTTAACCCGATTAAGTATATCTAGTACTTACTAAAAGTATAAGTCTTTAAGATATTTCCTATAATAGCTATAAACAAATCTAATAGTAAGGATTTAAGGTAAAGGCTTACAAGTTGTGACGACACGCACAGCTGATGGACCGCGCACGAATGCACGACTACGCCTGGTGTAAGTTGGGCACTGTGGAACTGTCTATTCGAGGATTCTAAGCTGAAGAGAGAAGAGAAAGAAAGGACAGAAGCCCAGGAGCTGGAAGCTCTTATATAACTCAGGTGTGCCAAGCCATAGCTAACCGAGCCGGGCTCGGGAAGCACGGGGCACGCTGGGTGCCAGCCAGGGGCTGGTTTGAGGCATGGTGGCGGTAAGAACCGTCACACAAGTACTCTATAAGTAGCGTAGGATACTTTAGATAAAGACTCCTTTAACGTTCTCTATAAGAGTATACTAGCTAGAATCAAGGCCTATATCGCGGCGGATAGCTAGTACACTAAATATTATAGTATAGTTTTAGTCCGATTTTAGATTTAAATAGTACATTTTATAGCCCTAACCTAAGAGGTTCTTTTTATTCAATGCTTAATAAATTCTAGTACGTATTGATGGTGATACACCTGTATATATAGGAGTGGTTATAGTAGGGGAAATCGGCACTCGGCTAAATAGCTCAGTCTTTTCGCCTAGTACTGTAGATTCGGGATGCCGTACCATTCTCCACCGTCTGGAATGACAAGTTTCTATAACTCTATACTCAAAGCCAGTTTCCAAAAGTAAAAGGAACCCACGAGCCCGCAACTAGGGGATCAAGGGGACTGCATTAATCAACCCGCTTCCGCTTTTAGCACTTGATTTTGTGGAGTAAGAATTATGGAAATCATATCCATTGAATGATAGCAAAAATAAACAAGCTGAGGATAAAATTACCCTGATTATTCTTTGCTTGAAAATATGTCACTTATTCGAAATCCTGACCCTCATTATTTAAGAAACGGATGAGGAAATCGTACGGCATGAATCTATAGACTTCAATATTCCAAGTAGAGATAGAATCACCGTGGATCTTTTGTTCTATTGCGATAATGGGGTAGTACTACCGGTTCCAAACATCCTCTAAAAACCTTTCCTCGCCAAAGTCTCATGTCGCAACTTGCTCTTTACATTTGTTTCTATTTGGGAAACGACTTAAGCGATGCCCCACAAGAAAACAAGATTTGGATGCGTCTCTCATCTACCGGATAATTTTGAAAAATGTGAGAAAGCTGCCCTTCCAAATACAAAGAGGGTGGTGAAAGAGCTCTAAGGACTTTCCTACTACTTCAATTTTCTAGATAAAGTCTTCAGACCTGGCAAGATAGGAGATTTAAAAGAAAAAGAAATATAGATTAACTCTTTTCCAAGCATACATTTTGTAATTCTCATAGATCCTACATCGTTAGAGACTATGAATGTCAACAAACGGATTGTAAAATGCTATCAAACACATGTTTCTACTACTAATTTAGTGATCTCAAACATATCTAGAACTATAACACTTCCGAATACTTCTTACCGACACTCATAGTAATCTACTAACTCCCCCTCTCTATCCCCACTTTCTTCCATTACGAGAAAGAAATTGCTTCCTCAATTTACCTTACTTTCCCAGCTGTAGCCTACTATTCTCTTTTGTTAATGTGGAACAACTATCTTTGCTAAGAAGTATAGAGCGAATTCGCTTATATAGTGAAAGGTCTTCAAGCTGCGAGAATGACTTAACAAACAAACCTTCCCCAAAATGACCTCCTCAAGACCTCGTTCATATATCCTCACATCCCGCAGGAAACTTGAAAAATCCTATGGCCTAATTAAAGGATATCTAAGAGTGCGCTGTGACACAAAAAGTAGGTTAGTATACAAAGCAAGATCCTCACATCCATCATGTAAAAGTATCAGATAACTCACATTACAATCCTCCATTAAAACGGCCTTACACCCAAAACCGGAATCCACAAACCAAAACTCTACCCTCGAACCCCCTTCCACCCTCAAAAAGTACAGCGCATTTGTTACTTTTTGAATCAAAAAAGATACTTTAAGAACGAGAGACCGAGCTCGTGACATACAGGTACTAACCCGTGAAATGGTTCTGGAGAAGGTCTAAGGAAGTATTCACATCGAAAAAACAGCACATGTACTTTTTTCTCCGAAAATGTTGTTGGGTATATTTTGATTCTTGCCGGAGCAGAGTAAGTGGGTGATTTATACTCTAGTGACTCTAGTCGATGCTGAAGTTTACCGGACCCACTACACATGCCAAACTGTTGAGAATAAGTAGAAGGAGCCAAAATCATCAATCTTCCTTCCGAAATATACACAACCTTTCCACCCTATCTTTCCTAATAGCCAACATCTTAACAAGATTTAATAATCCGAAATTAAAATTAAAGTGAGGCCTGGATATCTCAGTCGGTTGTTGTCACAAGAGAATTTCACGTGTGGAAATATGAGCAGTATTGTCATTGGCTGTTTGATTACGTATACGTATAGAATCTGAAGCTATTCCACAGATTTGTTTAAGGGTTTCAGTCCGAAGATAGGAGGTTGATGGTTAAGAGAGGAAAGGGAAGTGTATATATGTTCATTTTACTAGTAAATACGCTCACACATACAGGCCTAATTAACCTGAAGAACACATCTAACAACATATACTTCCAATAACACTTACACCATCTTTCAACAACTCTTTCTTCATCCCCTTTTCGCCCTCCCTCACAACACACCACCCACAAGATCCTCCCCACGAACTCCTCACCGCCCCAAATCCAAGATCCATCTATAAAACCCCACCCCACCCTTTCAATCAAGCACCAAACAGCACCAACAACACCAGCATCAGTAGCAGATGTTCCCTTCTGGAGCCCGCGTATCCCCTCCCCTCCTCCCTCTCATCACTTCACAACAACCCCCTTAACTGTCTCACCATCCCCACTATCCATATCCTCGTATCCAAAAAAGAAGAAGAAAATGATGAGAGATTTTGAGAAAGAAGAGAGTTGCTGTCGGAGTTTTAAGTATCGTCGAAAGTTTAGCTTCAGTTCGATATCGTGGTACAGAGAATTTGAAGAACGAGCGAGATTGTAAGACCAGTAAAAATGGCCTTGATGTTTGATGAGGGATGGATGATAGTGATGAAATGCGTACTTGTAAATTCCAAAGGCAGCGAAACCCGAATGGCATTGATGAGTTTTGTGGTTACTTGACTCTTGTCTAGTAATAATCCAAACATATCTGAGATATAGATAGTAAATAGAGAGATGATACTGTATTGAGATTGGTATCTTCTATGGTTTTGCTTGGTCCCAATAACGACTCAAGGTCCAAAAATACAATACAAGCCTTCGGAAATTTGGTGAAGGAGGTTCGCACTTAGAACCGGTATAGTATTCCTTTTCCCAGGGTGTCGAATACCAACGAGACATCTACTGTATATACACAGAAGGAAAATAACTTACCTTATCAATGAAGCTGACAACATCACGCGCACCAGCACTAGAAAGAGAAAGAATCCATCATGAATAAAGCAGGCATTAAATTTTATCATTACAGCCCATAAGCATCATAACTTCATGCGTAAGAACCATCACCCCTCACACCCAATTTATTTTGAATCGACACATTCTGACCCCCCGCACTCAAAAACCACGGTCCACTCTGCAACGTCGCCCGATACCCCTCATCATCAGCCCTACTAACCGGTTCCAACCCCACAAACCCATTCAACCAATCCAACACCGTCTTATGCCACACCAAACTATTCTCCGGCTTGAGAACCCAATGATTCTCATCTGGAAAACTGAGGAACTTACTCGGGATGCCCTTCGCTTGGAGGACGTTGAAGGCCGCTAGCCCCTCGGCGATGGGGAGCCGGTAGTCGAGCTCGTTGTGCACGATTAGTAGGGGCGTGGTCCAGTTCTTGGTGTGTGCTGCAGGGTTCCAGCGTTGGTAGTTGTCGAAGTTGTCCCAGAGGGTGCCGTTGAAGTCGTGTTGCATGAACCAGAGTTCTTCGGACGTGTACTGCGCGAGTGTGTTGAAGGAGCCGTCGTGCGCGAATTGGGCTTTGAATTTCTTGCCCAGGTCGTGGCCCGCGATCCAGAAGGTCATGTAGCCTCCGTATGAGGCACCGGCTTCGACGGCGTTGTCCAGGTCGACGAAGGGCATGTTCTTTTCGATATACTCGTATCCGAGAACTAGGTCGTTGTATGGTTTTCCGCCCCATTCGTTCTGGATCTGGTCACAGAGCTGTTGGCCCCAGCCAATGGAGCCGGTAGGGTTGAAGGCTACAACGATGTATCCTTGTTCCGCGTAGACCATCATGTTCCAGCGGTTCGACCAGGAGTCGTCGGTGCTGCCCTGTGGTCCACCATGCACGTAGAAGAAGAGAGGGTATTTCTTTCCTTCTTCGTAGAAGGAGGGCTTGATGACCCAGGCTTGCACCATATAATCTCCGTCTCCTTGGTAGTAAACTTCTGAGATTTGGCTCTTGGAGAGGCCCCATTTGGCGCCAAATCCGAGGTTGGCGTTGATGAGTGTTACTCCTGAGGTGGCGTTGGTGGATTCTGAGAGCACGGGATCGATCCAGCTGTAGACTGAGTTATCCAAGAATCCAGCGCCGTTGACGAGAATCTTTCCGCTGGCTACTGGGTGGACGTCAATAACGTAGTCTGCGTAGATGATCTTTGGCAAAGCGGTGACGGTTGGGTCTGCAGCGATACTGAAGAGACGTAGACGTCCGTAGTCTTCGGTTGGGAGGTACAGAGATTTTCCATCCGTACTCCATGTTACTGAAGTAGGACTACGATCCCAAGCACCAACTCCATTTGCAGTGGCGTAGAACTCGGCAGCTTCAGTGGATTTTGTGATATCGGAAACGACGAGAAGACGGTTCTTGTCACTTTCGTAAGAGATATCCTTCATACGGACGAAACCGACCGAAACACCATTTGGACCGAAAACCGGGGTGGAAGATGCACCTTCGAGACCTGGGGTGGAAACTTGTTGAGGTGCAGGTGGTGATTCGGTGAATGATTTTAATGGGAGGAAATAAACATCGGATTTAGTGGTTGTAGCAGCGTTAAGTACTGGGTCCTTGGAAATGAAGACAATTCCATTCGGTCCGATATCGTAGCTGATATATGTTAGTATTCGGAATTTGTGGACGAGAATCGGGTTATCTATACTTGTCTGCGCCACCCATTGGTGGAATTGGAGATTCGAGACCACTTCCTTGGAGGGCATTGATTGGTTCACCTAATGTGTAACTTGAGGAACTGTTTGTGTAACTGCCGTTGCTAGAAGCACTCAAGGTAGTGTACCAAATGCTGTTTCTTTGTGGCGTAAGGTCTGACCTTAATTAGCATTTGAATTTTCTCTTGAAGCCTTAAAACTTACAAGTATCCCAATGTCTGACGAAAATGGAAGTGTACATGCGTCCAGTAGACAGTGGGATTTCTTGAAGGTTGGAGTTGTAAATCGATCCATTTGGAGAAGCAGATCCGAAGAATGCAACACCATAGTTTCCAGGACTGGTCTTGACGAGTTTCAATCCGTCAGCGGAGCCTGGGATAGATCCTGCAGTAATTGGTCTTAAGAATTAGCATTGAACAACCAAACTCCTCAAAAACTCAAGAATTCATTCACAAATCCCCATCAAAAGTAAATAACCAAACTTACTCAGCACCCGGCAGCAAAGCATCTCCCAAAAGCACAGAAGTAGTCCCATCGTCCTCACTCTGGAACCAAACAATCTTGCTCCCCTCCCCCAACCAAACCGGATTACTCGCCGCACTAGAATTACTAAACAACGTCGTCGCGCCCGTCGTCAAATCATAAACCGAAACCTCATAAGTCCTCTTATGAGTCGTAAAATTGTACTTATTGGCCGTGTAGATAGCCAAAGTACCCTCCGCATTCGGAATCGCCCCCGTTCGTCTGGACACTCCCAACATGGCCTCTGGGGTGAAGGTGCCAGCTGCACATGTTGTCGTAATGAGGGTGGAGAGGGCACCGACGAACGCAAGTGAGGAGCGTATCATTGCCACCATCTTGTCTGCGTAAACCAGAAAAGGTCACAAAAACAAAGAATTGCAAAGACCAGCAAGAGGGAAGAGCAAAAAAAATGCACTTGTGGGGGAATCAGAGGGAAGTGGGATGGGAGATTACTTATAGTTATCTACTTATCACATCATCCGTCAGAACTTACCGTACCTCGCCAAGGACAAACAAATCCACTCACTCACTTGAATTGATTAAGATCTGCTAGCGTTTCTTCGTCCCCAACTCCAAAAGCTTCTTGTCAGTGGCCAACGCTGATTTTTGATCTTCCCGGTGGAAAAGTGAGGGTTGATTGGTCGTAATAGAAGCTTACATTGAATTCCATGCCAAGACTACTTATCTGCAGCTTTATGTGGGGAGACTGCAGATCGGGACAGCAATCCGAGGGATCCACCATCTTCTTTTCTCATCGAAATGTTTGTCTCCGTCTGGATAAAAGGACCTTTCTGGGGATCTTCAGCAGCGTGCAAAATCTTTCTCGAGTACAGCTTGAGGAAACTGTTAAACACTTCACCTTCTCACACCTTTCCTATGCCTGAGAATTCCCATTCGAAGCAATCCAAAATCAGCAACTACCAACCACCCAATCAACCCATAACAAACACAATTCGCCAATGGACCTAATCGAGTATCTATCCGAAGTTCAAGCTCCCACCCAACCCAGCACTTGCAGCAAGTCCAATGCTGTGCAACGGCAAAGTACATGGACGGGTGGCTAATCGTCGTGGTTCCTACAAAGACCTTCCTAAATAGGAAAAGGATATTGCCGAGGTGCCCGCTACTGTACAGCAGCTCTTGTTGTGAGGTCTCGCTAACCTTATCAGAGTTTAGAAGTCAGTTGGTCCTCGTAAAATGGACATGGATATGGATGTACTGAAGGGTACGAGTACGTACAGGAGTGGCATGGCATGTACCGGTATTTTGGTTATTTTCCTTGAAATTGTTTTCGAGTAGTTGTTGTTATTGCGCGAAAGAAAACGACGATGGATACAGGACGAGAAGAGGTATGCGATCGATACCGTATCCAATTCAACGTATCACTCCCCTCCCATCCCGTGATTCTTCCAAAAGTTCCTCATCACGACGAAATCCCTGTTCTCCGACTGTACCTTCTTACCTACATACAACCTACAGATTCTCTACAGATTCCTCCAGTCTCCCATAAGCTATACCGTCCCATCTTCCAAGTTCCAACGCCAACCACGGGTCCCTCAATTGTACTTCCCCACCCTGGTTGGTACCTGACCTGAACCTGACCATCCACCTCACCCCACCCTAGCCACCATACAACATCCACAACCTAACCAATGTGGGGAAGTAAAGCCGTAAGTACCTACTAAATCTTACTCGTAAGCCTCGCCGGCGCGCCGCAGCGGCTTAAACAACCCCAACCCTGCCATACGAAAAGAAAAAATCGTTATCCAGATTCCTCTTTATGATTCGGTGTGCGAATCGCGTATTTTCACCCACCAGTTGGATCCTATTGTAAGCATGATATGATTCGTGCGATTTCTTCTTTCTTCCCTGCAAAGGGTCGGGCAAAAGTTCTAAGATGTTCTAGAAGGAAAGAGTGGATTGGGGTGGTGAATTAATGATGGGAGGACTGGTGTAAAACGTGCGTGCGGTTTAATAGCGATATAGACAAAGTGGATAGGATAGCTACGGTACGCGACGGGATGTGCTTGACATGAATTCATGACTGATGGCAGTACCGATGAAGACAAGTCACAATAGACGTATATATTCTTGAAGATGAGAATCACGGGGAAAATTGGTAGTTTTCATGAGCTTAAATAGTTGCTCGCATCGAGCCTTGAAGATTCGAAAAGAGAAAGACGTGATGTGTCCAAGTACGACAGGAGTGGGATTGAGATGGGGGTTTTGAGCTAATATACCATCGTATAAGTACATGTAATTGTAACAAGAAAAGCGAAAGCCGGAGCCAGGGAATCTTTGCTTTTGCTTTTGCGTTTGTTGTTTTGCCTATCATATCAATACAAGTGTTCCATCATCACATACAGTAGAGAGTTCTTTTTACACTTACCCCGTCCCTTTCCTGTTCCCCGCCCCCTCTATCACCATCCCATAACTTCCTCTTTTGCGCCCTCAGAATTATTTCTTGTTCTTATCCTCATACCCCTCCGTAACGTTCAACCCCAATCCCTCACTATCAAGGTACACCTTATTCTTTCCTCCACCCTCCTGCAAGATCTGCGCAATCGCCCGCGCATTCTCAATTCTCTTGAGATCAACATATGATCGACTCTTCTTGATCGCATCTCCAATCAATTCAGCGGATCGTGCTTCTCCCTGTGCGCGGACAACCATGGCTTGTTTTTCCTGTCGGGCTTTGTCGACTACGAAGGCGGCTCGTTGTGCTTCTTGTTGTGCTACCTGTTTGGCTTCTACTGCAGCTGTGAATTCGGGGGAGAATGCTAGGTGCTGTTATACAATTAGTACGGGTATGGATGAGTGGGGAAGGGAGGGTAGGAATATAATTTTGAGGGAAGTGACATACAGTCAGGGAAACATCATCTAACATGATATTGAATCTCGCCGCGCGCTTAGAAAGGTTCTCCCGTACTAATCTCGCCACATTTTCACGCTGGGTGATCAATTGAGAGGCATTGAATTGCGCAACCACACTCTTCAGAACCTCATTCACAATCGAAGGTAAAATTCTTTCATCGTAATCCGTTCCTAGGGTTCTGTAGATTTGAGGCAAGGCATCGACTCGTGGACGTGAAAGAACTCGACAGGTTATATTGACCATCTGGAGATCCTTGGTACCGGTAAGAGAAGCGACGTTTCTTGGTTTGGCGCGCACATCGTAGTCTATTGGTGTTTCGAACCATGGGAGTTTAAGATGGGTTCCTACACAATATATATGTTAGTGATGGTTTGTAAGTGGATGCGGGGTGGCGCAAATACCTTCACCATAGATCTCCTTGCTCACACCCCCAATTCTGGTGTACTTGATCGCACGATGACCTCCATCAACGTTGAATAGTGCGTTACTACCAACCACTCCGACAGCGCCTAGAAGTATTAAACCGCCGATGCCTCCGGCTACTCCCTTGGGACCTGGACCACCTCCCCCTCCTCTCTGGGCATTTGCTGCCATGCGCTGAAGCTGCCTCCATGCGTCTTGTGGACTCGACATTTTGGCGTATGAGGAGATTGAAAGACGATGATGGAGATGTGGTGTTGATGTTGTTGAATTGATACACCCCTCAATGATGAAGCTTGGTGAAGCTATGCTAGTGTGTTTTTGCCTTTGGCTTGGCGAGAAAGGCAAGGCTGATGAACTAGCCTCGGCTGACTAATTCATACTCCAGATTTCGCATGGCATGGCATTGTTAGCTCCATCCAAGTTGAACGTCACCTTTTTGTCCCCCGAACCATCGACATCAGAAATCTTCGACCTGAGAGAATTTGTTGGGTGAACTCTTTGCATCGGGTTGGAAGCACCAGCAGGACTGAGATTGAAATTGGTGAGAGACATCTACATCTCAAGCAGCATTAGAATAGCCAGAAACAGCTTCTCACAAGACTTCTGTGCCATTTCTCTCAAATTTCCCGTTGTCGTTGTCCGCAAGAGTCCAGAGGTGATACGTGAAGATCATATCGCTGTCAGCCCTCATTCCTGAGCAAGAAAACAGCTTCTCTTTTGTGATTTTTGTTGCGGTCCCTTGTTTGCCCTTTCTCCACTTTGCAGCATCAACAATACGTCCTCGATAGCTTCGCTGCAAGTATATCTCCATAGGCATCTGTCTGCATCTACATCTACACCTCATTCTCTTATTCACCATGGCGAGTGCGAAACCACCTTCGAAATCCGTCTTTGTAGGCAATATTCCCTATGGTTCGTTCCTCTCTGTATGCATCAATAGCAGAGCCCCGACTGACTTCTCCCAGGCCTCACGGAAGAGCAGATAGTAGACATTTTCAGTTCTGCTGGAAAAGTCTTGAATTTTCGATTGGTCTATGACAAGGAAACTGGAAGACCCAAGGGCTTTGGCTTTGCCGAGTATCCAGATACAGGTGTGTGCATTTCATGTTTCTTTGCTTCACTGGTACAATGTGAATGTTGATGTTGATGTGAAGCGACTACTGACGCGCTCTCGCTCTTGCAGACTCGGCTTCCTCAGCCGTGCGGAACCTCAACGACCACGAGATTATGAACCGCAAACTACGCGTGGATTTCTCCAACGACGCAGGCGGCGACGACGACAATAACAACAACTACGTACGTACCACTTGGACCTTTCAATCCTATATGCTAATTGATCTCACAGCAACAATCTGTACCACAATCCTACCAACACCCCCCCTCCAACGGCCTCACCATGTCGCAACAACAACTACCTCACAATCCCAATACCTCCTCTCTCCCTCCTCTCCCCTTGGGCGTCGAACTTCCCCCAGGACTCAACTGTCCCGACGCCATCTCCCGAACTCTCAACACCCTACCTCCCGCACAGCTCCTCGACGTCCTCGCGCAAATGAAAACTCTCGCCTCGACCGATGCCGCCAAAGCCACCGAACTCCTCAACCAAGCCCCCCAACTCTCCTACGCCATCTTCCAAGCCCTTTTGCTAATGGGCCTCGTCTCAACCGAAGCACTCGCCTCAGTTGTCGAGTCCGCCTCTGCTCCTCCACCCCAACAAGCAGCAGGAGGATACACACAACCACCCATTCCCGTCCCTCAGCCGTCCGCATACGCTGGCTTCCCGCCACCTCCTCCGCATATGGGCATGGGTATTCCGGTGGTGGGTAATACCAGCAACAATACTCCACCTGTGACGGGACATGGGATGTATGCTCCTCCACCACCACCCCCGCCACAAGCACAAGCCGCGCCCGAGACGGATGTCCTGATGCAGCAGGTTCTTGCTATGCCTATGGAGGTGATTGATAGTTTGCCACCTGCGGATCGAGCGCAGATTTTGGCGTTGAGGGCGAGTTATGGGAGGTAGATGGGGGTGGTAGTAAAGGGCGATGTGGGATTTAGGAAGTGGTGATGAAAGGGGGTAGCAATGGACGTGTGAGATGGGGACTGAATGAATGCGATATGGGTGGGATTGTGGTTGCTATGGCAAGGCAAGGTAAGGAAGCCAGAAAATATTAGAATTTGAGATTGTGAATGCGGGAATTGAGGGAGGTTTGCTGGGGTAATTTAGTCGTTTCGATGGATGTGGATGTTGATTAGTGGGTAGTAATTGAATGCAAAGAAATGCAATGGACTGAAATGGATTGCAACAAAACTTTGGAAACTGATTTCTGTTGGAAGTGGATTCATTCATTCTATTCCTTGAAGCTTTCTCTTCTTCTCTTCTCCTCTTAGGCTCTTACTTCTCGTCATATCTTTGTCCTGTATGAACTCTAACCCTAACACTAACCGGTGGGGATGTATAGAGCATGAAGATGGGTCTGCTTGTTTGTCCTTGTGATGTCTATATTAGAGGAAGAAACATCTTTTTCGATCTCGTAATATCGTAAGGGAGTTGATAATATAATATACCACATACCACATACTCGTAACTATATATAATTCATATACTTTTTACTCGGTATTGGGACCGATATTGGGACGAGGAAGGGGATCTTGAGGGAATGGTAGGCTGGAGGGTGGGAGATGTTATGATTCTTTTTGTGGAATGGGTTTAGTTGTGATATGTGCACGATGGGCTTTTTTGGGGATTTGTGGGGTTTGTTTGGGGGGAGGGGGGGTGGAGATAGGGATGCGGATAGTATTGTTGAGAGAGTAGAAAATCTCACTAAAGAATAGACTCTAAATTCCGGTTCATCTACCACATACCGCTCAACTCAAACACAGGTGACTTCCAACATCCTTTTCCTTTTCCTGTTACGATTGCTATATTTATACCCCCAGTAGCCTGAAGTTTAAAGGTCATCAAAGAAAAAGACTCGAGCGATGAAGATAGCTGGGCGCGTTCATCACACTCACCGTGACGGTAATTACCCAACCCTTCCTGTTCGTAGGTTTACATTCCAGTCAAAACACAAGTCATCTCAACCTCTCACGTCATATTTTGCAAAGAGCGAAGGGAAGCACATCAGGAATCGACAGCAAAAGAATGATCGACAGTAAACACCCAATCTTCCATTCATTTCAAATATTTCTTGCGTCAAGCTAGGAAAGGGGGGACTCATACGGAATTCCGTATAGTATGTTTTACAATATAGTGCGCCATACAGAGACAAGACTCCGTTGGAATTGTGTACCAAGCTTTCGTCGCCATGAGAAGTATGTTGTTTCTTCTGCATACGACACTCTGTAGAAGATCGGATCTACTAGATTTGGGTCCTTAAGTAGCTTGATAGAGAACGTATTCACGTGCAGCTAGTGGTGTAGATAGTGTGCTTTGTTGGGGTTTATGTTTGAAGAGTGTGAGGAGAGGATTTGTGGGTGTAGTGGTGATATGTGGGATATTTTGGAATTGATGGTTCTGTCTGCTGGTGAGCTCGAGTGTGATGGTGAAACTGGTTGCTTTGTTCTGGGGCTGTTGAGATTGTTAATAAGAGAAGGAGAGGTTGGTTGAAAGGTGGTACGGGGATATGAAGGGTTGGGTGGAATGGAGGATCTCAGTTTTTACTTTGTTTTTGCAAAGGGTGTTGTGTTTCTTTGTGAGTGAGAACGGCTGTGAGCTGAGATGGTGTTCTATCTTTGAATAAGCTAATCCTTTTGTTTTCTGGTGATAGGCATTGGGCATTTTCTGATTGCTCATAGTAGCCTGGAGCGAGAGATTGAGCTTTGAAGCTATAGAGATGGAAGAGAAGAGTTGGCTCCTCCCCCCTTTTCTCGAAATATCTAAAGGCCTTTCCATATGTTCAGGCCTCTGACCTGTCTTCTGACCATCCTTTGGTGTGTGAATGTAGTGGAGTTGGTAGGCAGGTGTTTCAACAGAATACGTCTTGGATGGCTTTTAGTCTTCGCGTTGTGCGAAGCTTCTCATTTCTATTCAAGTAAGAAGTTTGGTCTTAAGTGTAGTATGGGCAAGCAGCGTATGAAGGCACTCTGACCTCCCTTCTTACACAACTGGAACGAAGAAGATACTACCAAAGTAGACCCGTATTGTTCACATCTTCCCCCTTAAAAGTGCAAAGGTGCTAGAGGCGTTAGCTTCGGCATACGCAAATAACTTCAACGGGCAGTAACATGTTCTTCGTGGTGAGCCGCAGTTAAACAAAAAATCATGGGTTGAAGTTGATCTTGACATACGGTCACATCATAACGAGTCTGGCGGTGGTGTTGTTTCATTTGTCTGAGTCAATAGTATACATGTTTATTCGTGTGGATTCAAGGGAATCGACAGTAAGTAGAATTTCGACGGTGAACTAAAATCTCCATTTCAGGCGTAAGTAAGTTGGGGGGTAGAGAAGGGATTAAGGAAGATTGTAAAGATGGGAGTAGGACCTTATTGGGTTGAAAGGGTATTGGGTACTGAAGGTCATGGAGAATTGATTGCATTGTAAAAGGTAGCTATCTAAGGTGTTTATATAAAGAGTGTAAGGTTTAGGCAGACATGAAGCATTTAGGCAGCAGAGCTATAAGTGGATCAAATAAGGAAGTGGAGCAAAAGAGAAAGTAGACCCAGCACAACAGACCTGTATCAGGGAACCGTGGTTATATAAGAAGGAATCGAGAGTATTACCGTCACATATTGTTCTACCAGCTATGCAAAGGCAGTGAGACTCTGAAAGAGAAGTGTTTGGGTGGAAGGTGTTTTATTTGAGGTTGAAATGTTTCAGTTATTCGGTTTATGGGTAGAATCTTGCAACAAGGTTGGAGATATTAGTTTAAGAGGTAGAGATTCCATACTTGTGACATCTTGAGGTACATAAACTATCTGTTTTCCTTGCCCTTTATTGGTAGGTAAACTCACTAAGTTTGCATCTAATTACCACAGCTTCCCTCGTTCTGAAAGCGTTTCTCTCAGTACTTTTAGGTCTATCTAACCATGTGATTCTACATGTGGAGGCACATACATCATTCTCCGTTCCGCTCAAACTAACTTAATGAAAGTCTTTGGCTTTCTGAAGAAAGCTTTTATAGTTATAGCTTGGGTACAGCGGTTGGGGTGTTAGGCTGGAATGATTCCTTTACATGAGGCCATGAATGAAAGACGCAGAGTAGATTTAGAGATCTGCTGGACAGTCACGGTATTTGGATTAGACTCGAGAGATTTCGAGTAAGAATACCAAGCCTAAGTTATGGTTCTATACTAAATCATGCTGTATACAATAAGCCTAATGCTTACGAGGAAGCAATTACGAAAGCATAAATGCATTTTCAGAGAGCGAAGCATTGAACAGCGATGCAGCCTTGCCTGAGCGAGAACCTCCGCATTTCCTGAACTACACGTCTATTACCATACATTATATAGTACAAATCATTCTTCATCACTTTACTTATATATACGCTTAGAAGAAATAACCGAACAATCAACCTAAAAACCCACAAAACACTCCGCCACTTTCTCAAGAAATGGTGATTCTTCGACAGCAAGAAAACTTTCGAAAGCAAGTGGTGGAGGTTGTTCAGAAGTTGGTCCAGGTAATATTTCTCGCTCATATCATATTCTGGAGGTGAAAGAGTAACTTGTTTGGTACATACCCATACCGTGAGCTTCTGTGAAGTCGTGCTGAAAAGAAAAGATGCTACTCCATCAACCGAGTTTTCATTCATCTTCCGGAGCAACTTAGGGGTAAGATTCAGTAATCGGGCCTCTAGTGGCTTATATAGATTTACTTTTCGACTTATGGCATGTTCCCAGGGGGGGCATACCGGAGGGGCGAGAGGGAGAGAAACTGGTCTCTTATATTTGGTTATCTCTGAAGCTGGTGAAGCCAGAGGGTGTGATGAGTTCTGTGGAAGGCTGAGAAGAATATATCATACAGGACAAAGAAATAAGTTAAAAGCTGTGATATTTTCAATACATTTGGAAAGAATCATCAAAAACAAGAGTAGGGACATAAGACAATATACAATAAAGAGCACGAATATACTGTACTTCTGTTACCCGCTATACAAAACAATCAACATAGTTTACTCAAGGTACTACTATATGGTAGAGCAACAAGCTCCGCAGGAAAGCGGAGAGTCTCAAGTGTTATTATAAATAGAACTAGAAGCAATTAATAGGATATCACGAAACAATCCTGACCCTACATATGTGGCCTGCTGCTTTAAATTTCATACACATCTTTGCCCTCAAACATGACTTTTCTCTCAAAAATCAACCTTGAAAACCTTTATCTCCTGCACCGCCCCGCGTAACTCTTAACCAGGATTAAGCACCCTCGCGTAGAATTGTTTTAACGCATAAAATCAGGTCAATTCTAACACCTTAGCAGTGCTAAGCTATCAATTGTACTGATTTTCAGGTAGGAGATGTATAGTCACAGGACTAGAACGTGACTATATATTTCTAATATGTCTATTTATTTATTGAAATAGAATCACTTCTCTTTATATAATATATAACTAACTTATAAGTTATACTAAATCTTAATTAGGGTTAGGCGATGAACATATATAGCTTAGGCTATTATTTGTATTAGAAGACGTCGTAAGTCTTAGTACAAATCTATATATTGTTTTTCTACCTAGGTTAGCACGTCCTTAACCCACTTTCGAGTTACGCCGGGGCGGTATAGGAGATAGTAACATATTTGCTTTCAAAGACTTTCTTCATCAAAGGTAAGAAGATCGCGCAAATCTGATTCGACAGCAAACTAACATTCGACAGTAAGATTCTAGGTTCTCAAGTTCAACGCAGGTCAGCTAGCATGAAGTTAACGGAAGAAGAAGCAACGTGCTTGCGGGTTCGACTGCTCAAGGTTTCGGCAAAGCTAGAACGGGGAATCATCGCTTTGCAGCAGCGGTGAAGGAGTGACCACAATGGACCCGGTAGTGTGCCGACTACACTGTGATTCAGGTGGTGAAAAAAGGCAGGAGTTGTTCTACTTATATGTCTCTTTGGTTTAAGTCACGTTTCAGTGATATTTCTGTCCACTTATTATTTTTGGTGGGATTTGGACACAGGGTACTGTGTATTCTTGCTCTAGTTGAGCACTTCAAACAGAAACAAGCTGTCTGAACCTGTAGATTTACGTATCGAAGGTCAAATATATACGTCATCTAAGTTGATAGCCGAAGTATTAGACGGTCATTGGATGAATATATAGTTTTGTAATACGGATTTACTCGGGAGACAGGAAAAAGAATATATCACTAGAGTTGATCTATAATTATAATACTACATGTCCCAAATACTGAGAGGAAAGACATACACCCACACACACACACATATACTGTATATATATACCTCATCAATCCTTGACTCTTGAAGTACACATCAATCACGAAGACAAAGTTCCCAATAAAATTTGTTCTCGTCTAATGGGTTGATATGTTTTTTGATCTCCTGAAGTAAATGGCCAGTTTGACCAGTAACTTAGCTAGCCAGAGATTTGTGGCTCAACGAAAATGACCACCCCCCAATAATCAAGCGAAAGTTTCTCCGGCATTCGACAGCAATTGTCCGTTCGACGGCAAAATTTCGCAACGTCATTTCTAGTCCATATGATGTCGCTACTCTCCGCGAAGTCACGAATGGAAAATCCACATAGTCGTTTGGACTTTGGTGTCTCGCTATGTTTTATGTGTTTATGGACTCTTCTAGAACCCAATATCCCTTCACAGATGTGGTTTTTCATTGTTGTCTGTTATGTTTCCCATACGGAGGAGCCTTTATACCCCTTCAATATTGTCCGAGAGGATTCTAGGGGCGGAGTAGGATCAAGGAAGTAAGACTCGAAACCTCAAGCATACCGTGTAGACCAAGAGTTTGAGTTCTCTGAGCTGACATCTCGTCGCTTGTTACGTGTTCTGTGTAGGCGGAGCAGACTTCTTTAAATATAGGTGTTTTGGGATTCAAAGCCCCATATCGATTTAACTGGAGTACCCAATTTGTGAGCGCGTGAACATCTTAATAATGAGACTTTACAAGTTTAGAAGTGATTAAGTGAAACTAAGGAACACTGTGTCGCCAAGCTATGAGTAAGAATGAATTGGGCAAAAAGAGAGTTGTACAAATAAGTGTCGTATTCCCAGCTTTAGATGAAAGAAATCTTCGAATGTAATAGGGCTACGGTGTACTGTGATTGGGTCGAAGCACGCAAATCATTGCCTGTTTCTTGTTTCTCCAGCATAGACAAGGCTAAAATGGCGGCTCTGGGATTCTTTCCAAGATCTATAGGGTAATATATAAGGCCTTTTTGAATCCAATGAAAACTTGGCGCAATTCACAGCAAGAATGGAAGTTGCAGAGTTTAGGCTTCCATATGAGGTCAGGAGCTTGGTAACACATGAAAAAACTTATGGTATCGCCTCTACTCGCCATGAATTAGTTTCAGCTAGAAAACCATCAAGCACCGATGATGTGCTGAAATGAAGGAAAACTTTCTGGCTGCGTAGCCATAATATCCGTTAATCTTGATGCTAGAGTGAGCGAGAGTAATTGCCCGGACTAGATGAAAGTCCTTGACTATTCAGATTATACGGGCTACCGGGCATGGCATTCGTAGGTATCAATCCAAGCACCATGGGGTATAACGAGCAGGTTTGTGTGAGGATCCTGCTCCTGAGAAGGCCGCTGAAAACTGGTGAGGAAAAGAATCATTTTAGCAAGATTTCAATCGAGACTCTGGCCACAGACTATTTATCCTAGATTGCGAGGGAAGACTTTTGGGAGAAGATTGAAACAAGAAGTTCATCACCAAAAGATCCTCCTGCTGAGTTCTTGCTTGTAAAAAATACCACTAGGCTCCATCTTTCCAGAAACGTTAGAAGAAGACACGTCTACCCGGCAGGAATGGCATAGATAAAGAGGTTCAAAGCTACCTCCATAGTTGAGTGGGAAGACAATGATATCCTACAGAAATTCCCTTTTCCTCCTGACGGCGTAAATTGGACATCGAAAAACAGCAGAATGGTAGTATGGATACCGCCCAAAAACGATGAGCCATTCCCTCTTCCCAGAGTCTCTTTTCTCTGAACGCGAACGAACTTTCGAGATCCGACAGCAAATTCATAATCGACCGCAAATCTTGCTCGTAAAATTTACGCGTAGTTGAAAGGTTGGAGAGGAGGGGGGACGGAGGTACGTTAGGTTCTCTGTCTTAACGTCCATCCTTTGAAAATGGTGTTTATTTCCTTGGTTGTACGCCTCCGGGCTCCGAGTTGCCTCGCCTAAGCGACTGGAGATCCTATTCTTTCGGGGGGAAATTTGTTGACAGTTTTAGATCCTCTACATTCTTATTACTTGTATGATGGGGCTTATACATCTTGGCAGGAAAGGTTCTCAACGGCGTTAAATAAGATTCAATCGGATATCACAGGAAAAGATAGCACTGCAAGAAAGCGAAATATGAGATTGGTCAACCACCTGATACTGAATCCTGCAGCCAACTCTGAAAAACGAAATCAAGTTCAATTCTCCTGCGCATCTCAACAGTCTCTACGGTTTTGTCGCACTGAAATAAATAGCCGATGCCATCATCAAACCTCCTCCATATGAACCGAATGAACAGAACGACAGTCTTAAAAGAATGAAAATATATCCATGCACGTTTATAAATCTTCATTTACGAACCATTTATGAAACAGGACATTATTGCCAAAGAAAACACATGATCAAAGCCTATTTACAGCAACGTTGTATGAGGTTATTCCAATTTTCAGAATGAATGTACCTGGTAACCATGGATCGGGTCTTTGGCTCTGGATATGATGGCAGAGAATGTCTTTCCGGAGATCCAAATGTTTGTTTACGGACCAAGAACGTATTTGAGAGCACTCAAGGAAAGGGATAACAATATAATATGCATACTGCGTGTGCGGAGAATCTCGCCCGGGTGTTTTGAACCTCGTGTGTACCTTGGGCTCCGGGATACTGACCTTGAGAGGGGATCCCCTGAGGTCAAGAATGGGTTTCTTTCACGAGGAAATCTTTTTTGAAATAAACTCCGTCGAGTATGGTGGAGGGCCTGGAAAAGCAAAATTAGCCTTCGCGCGAATGGGGAATTGCGCAAAACCAAAGCCAGATTCCAGAGCGGAGTGAAGTCTTCGGGCAGGGAAAGGCAACGGTATAGGGGATATGGCATCGCCTAAACCCAAAAAAATCAATTTATGAGGCCCTTCTCTGCTATTTCAATGGAACATCCCCTCATACAGCTGGTTGTGGAACGTCTACTAGCTGACCAATGTCCAGTGCAACTCGTGATCATGGCAAACCAGATGGACCAGGGGATTACTGCTATCATGATAATATTGGCATTGATGTTACAAGCAATACCAATTATAGTCGCTCCGGAAATGGCCAATAAAAAAATAGGAGCTTGATATTTGTCCGTCGCCTGACGTCGATATGCAAACGAGGATATCGCACAACCCTCTATGATACAAGCCCCAAGAAGTACCGCAGGGGATGGATCCAATATGAAGGTGAAGTAACCAGAACCGAAAGCTTGAACTGGAGAACCTAAATTTCCGGTGGTATTGATCTGTTTGTCGTAGTTAGTGGACATTTCTCAAAAAAGACATAAAGTTACCAACATGAAGCTCATTATGAAGAGTATACGAAGTTGTAATAAGAGAGCAAAATCCCACGAGGAGGACTTCCCACGAAGTTGCAAGCTGGTCTGATATTATGTGTTTTTGTACGCGCGCATCAGAAACATGGGAAGCCATAGATACTCGTAATTGAGCTGAATTCATGAACTGAACAGGAGTTTTCAGGTAATGATGTGATTCTTGATCAAAAACCCGGACCAGCCGCTTGAAATAAATAGGAAAACAGCGCTTTAGCCTCAGGTAGGCTGTATAAGATATAAGAGTGGTGAGTAATGTGTATGTCAAAAAACTTCGGTACCGATCGTCTATTAGAACCTTTTATGACCCAACATAACAAGGTATACCGCCTCACTAAGAATGTCCAAAACGATATAGGGCGACGGTACTTCTCAAGACCAGGCTCTGGGTCATGACAATAATAACCTTTGCACATCATGCTAGCCACATATGATCACCGATGGCCAATGATCGCTTGTAAGCAGCCACACGGCGAAGCTAGCCTGATGAGCATGATGTATGCGTTGGGCCGAAAAATATCTGCAGGCATATTGCGAGGCGGTTTTGGTCGGTGTACGCCTTCTCTCACCGAAACTAGAGAGCGCAGTTTGGATAATTTAGCGAAGCCTTGCACCACCTCCCCAGGCAACAGAACTAGACAAAAAAGTTGATTATACTCGGAGTTACAAGAAGTGTAGCGCTTGCGTTACCCCATACCGTTGCTTACTTTCGTGGATCAGGGAAAGTGTGGGGTAGTAGAGCCTAACACTTCATTATTGCATACGCCACCTAATTCAGCGTACTACCAGTCCAGTGTCAGCATCGTGAGTTGGTCTGCCTTTCCGATACAGAATCTTGGTCTTGAAGTGTTGCTGCCCAACGTTCTAAAGAGATTGTGTGAGATATAATGATCAATGATCCAAGCATGAGTTCGTTTGTTCTTACCACGTCGAGTTCATAAGCTACAGTACCAGTGGTGCACTCACAATTGACCAACGATCCATGAAAGGTTATTTACACCTCGTTCGTACCCGATTATCCCATCCACTTCAGTTGAATAACAATAAGCCCCACCCTCCTCAAATAGTCGAAAAACTTTGCGGGAGAGAATCAACATGGTTCGGCTCGTGGAAATTATGTTCGAATACGTTCACAGCCTCTGCAAGAAGCATCGAAAGGCTTTACAGTTTGCGTCTGCTGGGATAATGCTTTCAGTCTCTCTGGTTCTGCCGTCATTCTATCCTGCCGCACTTGGTCTTCGAGGCATTTGGAAAGTGTAAGTGAGCTGCAACCACTGAGGGCAATTTCATGCCTCATTGCAACTTGATATCCCCGTTTCAACGTAACAAAGATCAGTGTAATTGTGAACTGGGGAACGAATCTACACCTGTTTCAGCTTTCTCGGTCTTTAGCAAGTATCATCTGGGCATCTCATTCTTTGGCTTCGCATCAATTTTTACTGTTAGTATATCATCGATTCTGGGCTAACTATTAATAGCTCCATCGGCGTCTGGGCAGTTTCCATGATAACATTCCTGTGTCTTTCAGCGCGAACCCTCGTTGAGTACAGACGATCCGCTCACATCTAGACAGAACAATGCTAACTGTGTTTCCAGCAACGGGCCGTACACGCTTCTTTCAATCTTTGTAATTGGCTTTGGTATATCCAACTTACCTCTTCCACTCGAAGAATACGGGCCTCTGGCAACAGGGTTTGGGCTAATTTCAACGCTACAAACTGCCCCAGTTATTCGTAGCTTCTTGATAGGAAGCCCTAATCCTCGTCAGGGAACACATGACTTTGACACAGAATTGGGCCTTGGATCTTTTAATCAGAGTCAGCTTCCATCTTATGGCCCAATTAGCCATACAGGAAACCCCCCAGGTCCTTGGAATCCATTAGCCCACGCTGGGGCCGTTTTCAATGTCAATAACGACCCCGTTGTTTCTATCTCCTTTGGATCACATACGACTAACGGATCCGTACGTGGAAACTCAGAAGTTTCGAGTGACTTAACGTCCGAGTCGGCAGACCCACCCATCTAATGAGTCGCGAGTCTCTCCAAATTGCAGTCACTTGGTAAGATCTTCGCTTAAACTCGCAAACTGCATTCAGACTGGGGCCATCGAAGGAGTATTGAAACTATAATCCTACTACTCAAATTCATGGCCCATTACGTTGATCCATCCTGGCAGGTCATGTTGGACCTTTTTTGCTGCTTTCAGCACCCCGAGAGAATTTTGAAAATCCTACAGAACACGAAGATCGCGCGTTGGTCAAATATTTTTCAATATACGTTCTGACGTTCCATGATCCCAATCCTCAGGAAGACCAACCTCCAACCACAGAACTTGAACTCAGGCAAGGCTGAAACAGTCAAATAGGATCCAGTCCAGAGGCATCCTATCCAAGGGATTGCAGACAGTTTTTTGTTTACCCGCCAGGGTTCAGATCATGCCTCGGGAGCCTTTACCAATTCCTTTACCAATTCATACTCCCCAAGGAAAACTCACATGTACCTCCAGGAGAAATACCTTTCAATTTAGGAATTGAGGCGTGATGTGCCAATCACACACGATTGAATTGTCTGCCAGAAGTCCTCCGAATGTGGAGTAAGATAGTTCCACCTATCTTACAGAACATCCTTTCTTTCTTGTTACCTCTTTGACCGTCATCCCCCTCTGGACAGTTTCCACGTCCCTCGGAGCTTGCTATCCCTAATATTCTGGAATATCCTAGGTGCGCTTCCTTATAATACAGCCAAATATATACCAAATCTGGTGTTCTCCTCTTGAAGGATCAACTCTATGCAATCTTCATGATGCTTTACCCAAGGAAGGCTCCGTGGCGAACAACTTGGGAATCTTCGGATTTTATACAGAATGTGTATATTTAAATATACACAATCACACGTCAAAAAAGAATTTCATATCCTGCTCTTATATCTAAAGTTGGCAGATACGATGAGGGAATAAGCAACCTTATAAAATGAAGTCTGTGGAATTGGTTGTAACATGTCCTTCCGCGCGAGGAACCGTTGGAATTGCGTACGGAAGGGTTTGTACGCTTAGCTCCTGGTCGTTGAGTATATAGGAACTCAATCTCCTACTCTTTCATTTGGCGTTTCGGGGGATGGTGTTGATGTAGTTTCCTGTGGTGTCTTTGTACAGTAGTGGAACGGCGTTGGCGGCTTAACCTTTTCACTGCATCTTTGGTGGTTTGCTCGGGCTTATTTCTGGGAGGAATGAACAAAATGTGGCATAAGATATCTGTCTTGGGTTAAGGATTGCAATTTTTAACAGGTTCGAAGATCGTGGACGATCAACTACACTGAGGGGTTGTATTAGGGCCCCGCGGAGGTTAGAAGCCGTTTGTGTCAAGCTTATCGGATTTTCAGAGCACCTTGTTTCAATATTCTCTTGTTCAAGCATAGCTTGACGGATGAGCCTTGAAGAGGTCTTCAAATTGGTCGAAGTGTGTGCCGTGTGTTTTCTCGGCGCAGCGTGAGGGCATGAGGTCTCTAACGGGGCGACGGGGAGTGCGGAGAAAGGCGGGGATCGCTTCCCCGGAAATATATCGGAGGAGGATTGGAGGCTTCAAACCCCCTTTTCAGCTTTTGTTATAAGAACAACTTCCAGTTGTTTGCGGTAACTTCTTTATTTTCGTCGCTCGAAAAGCACTTTCCGATCAGTTTTACATGTATCTAGAAGTATAACTCCTTTAACTGTTTGTTTCTTATATTTGAAGAAGTCTCGTGAGAGGTAAGCTACGCTTGTTAACGTTTTCCCCCCGTCTTTTGCTTGTTCTTGAATAAGAAATACATATTTCAGGCACAAGTACGACGATAGATTTCGTAGAGTAGGCATGTTAGTCGTTCTGTTTGTATACGAAAAAGATTTGTCGTACGGTGAAAGATCAATATAATTCGGTTAGTAATTTAGTGGCAAGTAAATATATACATGGTATATCTGTCACTTAATAACAGGAGCCATCTCAATCGAAGCTGGTTTCGTTTCGCTTACAAAACTTAACATTAAATGCCATGAGAGTATTTGGATGTGTGAAATCTTTTCCACGCGACAAGATCAGAGAATAAACACGTATGGATAATCCAACGAACGAAAAACCCCTTAGATCACCGACTTGTCACAGGCATATTTCCTGGCAGTTCCGTCAACCCTGAGAAGGATAGGTTAGTACGACAACGACGAACAACTTCAGTATAGAAGAATAGTAGATGAAAACTTACATCCTTCGACTGGCTCCAAAACTTCCTGCTGCTCCATACATTTGTTTGCCTCCTCTGCGGATTGCGTCTGAAGTACGGTACATACATCCCCAGTGCAACGTGCATCGAGAGCTTTTTGTAAGACACCATCTTTCCAACCGAAGAGATAATCTCCATGCCATCCATAGCCAGTTCTGCGAGATATTAGCACTTTGAAAGTTGCAAAATAATATCTGGAGAATACTCACGCGTCACCCATACTATAGACTAGTGGGTTAGAACCATCCGATGGCCACAAACTTGCGTCATTGAATTCTCGAGTATCCCACACAATCTCATACATGACTTGTGGAAGTCTGACTGGGTGAGATGACGGACAGGGTCCGGTGCTCTCGAAGGATCCAGATGAGGGATATGCGACATGAGATTTGTGATCTGGGCTATCTGTATCCTTTCCATTCCAGCATCTAGAACCTAGTCTCAGTGGTATGCCACGATATAGACCGTATCATGACAATTTAGGAGAACAACTCACGTTCGGAAAGTAATGGTAGCCCGAATTCCTCCATGACACTGCGTTACAGGAAGAGCCTGCGTGTCGTTACCTGTGCATGGGGCTCCGCCAAACGGATCCTGTGCGATGTTTTCCTCGCAACGGTAGCAAAGTTGTTTCTGCATGTCTTTGGACGATCGATGCATTGGGTCGCCAACAATCATACGGAAACCCTCAAGAAAAGTTAGCTTTGTGGATGACATTTAAAACGCGAAGTAACTGGGATATCGACGTCACCTACAGGCGGAAATGCTGTAACCTTTGTCTTGCCATCGTATGGAGGAATATAGTAGACAGTAATCCCTCCATTTTTGCCCCTCAACCCCAAGTTCGTCATTTGAGGAACCCGCTTGAATGTTCCATTCTTAGCACGGAAGTACAACGAAGCGGTCCAGTAATTCGAAAAGTCTTCAGAATAGGTGCAAGAATTATAAGTCGATAACTTCGAAGGGTCGTACTCCACGGGAGTCATATTTGCATTGAATGAATTACCGCCCACTATCTGATTTAGATGTGCCGATGGTGCTATGTTTGGTTGCACTAGAGGATCAACTCGATCGATCACGAGCTGAGAGCATTCAAATCGCATCATTGCTGCGGTGGCATGTTGTCGTTTCGCGAGCTCGTCAGCATCTGGTATAATTGCCCCATTGATTCTTGCAGCGGCAAACGCCAGGAGTAAAGTAACAACTTTCAGAAGCACGTTGAATCGAAAAGTTGAAAATTACGAGAAGTGGGAAATAGAGTGCTAACGCGTTCGGAATAATATAGTCTTACCAAATTCCTTGTCAGTACACAATCAAAATCTGAATATTTTAACCATATTGATTTATCTTGCCCTGTATTGGTATCCCAATCGGAAAGGCTGCTCTGTTACGGAGTTTCCCTGGCTGGTAACAGATGGATTAATACGCGGCAAATGTGCTGGAAGAATAGGGTATTATAGCCAGCAATCTCTTCGGGTACCACGATCCGTCTTCATGCATTCAACTATTCATGATTGTCGATAGTGGAGGTAAGTTTTTCCGAGATTAGAGTTTCGCCCAACTGTCTTACATTTTTGACTCTGGTGTTGGGACTCAAATCGGTCCATAGATTCATAGAGCTAGTTCACGATAAAAAAGTGCACAAGTTTGCAAGAAGTATTTCTCCATGAACCTCTAGTATGTACATTGCAAAGTTGTTCCCGAATTAGCAAGAGAAAAGTCTGAAGATCCCTCCACTGCCTTAACTACTCAAAAGATAACCACCGATTCTCGAGTCCAATTACGGCCCTACCCACATCCCCCCAATACGCTAGTGCGTCTTACAAACTGAAGAAATAGTCTGGGAATTCTGACAATGGTACATACTGTCCCTGTTTCTCGGGGTTCTTATCAATTTCCCCATATCTTTCTGGGTGTATAAAACGAATATTTGGCTCTCGTTTTTTCCGTGCTTGGCGTATCTCATCCTCAGTTTGTTGTTGCTTTGGATAGATTAATGGCTTTTGATGAAAATATGGCTCTAAAGGATAAGCCCACTTAGCGAGGAGCGAGCCGTAATGTCCGTCAGCGCGGGTATTGCCCGTTTGGACTCTAAGCTTTTTTCCTCTCTGGGCGACCCGCAAACCTCTCTCCGTGAAGTTTTGGGCCAAATGTAGTGGTCGTTCTCCGTTTCTCTCCCAGAAAATGTCGTACAAGCAGGAATGTGTAAGGCCAAGCATTGCTGAATCATGACTGTTGAGGTAGCTGAGAATCATTAAGATAATATCAATGGGAGCTTCTAAAAAAGAGCATTTGGCGGAATGAATAGATTCTTCTGGGAAACTTAGTTTTGAGGTGAGAGTGAGAGAGATAAGAAAGGTTTTTCTTACCCTTTGACATTTCACGTTTCAAAGCTTCCACTTTATCTCGGACTTCGTGTGATGGAATCCGACTAATCAATGTCGGTCTCATGATTGATTTCTTTGCTTGTGATTACCTCACAACTCTATTGACGGAGTTCAAATGTTGGTCCTTGGAATGTTTCTTTATCGTAATGGGGCAGAATGTCTTAGGATTTCTTATTGGTAACAAGACACTGGAATAATTGGAAGGTGGCTGAAGTATACAGAATGAAGAGACCTATGTGTACGACCTTTGCACGTAAATGCTGTAGCAGTGTTGTATTATCTTTTCATATTACCGTGGTAGAAGCGCTGACGGGGGACTAATTATAAAAGTTAGAGGCTAGCTAGGCTAGCCTTTGTTAGCCACGGTATATCCCTGCCAGTGGCCCTCCCTCTGTAAATCACAATTTCACCACTATGCCATAGAACATTCACTAAACTACTGTATCAACGAGGTTTGAATTCTCACGGAGTATAAACAAGAAAACGGTACTCTCATAGTGGAGATTTATTGTATTTGGGCTTGAAAGCTTAAAATAGCCAAAGTCTATATTGATGATGCTCTTTATCTGTCTATCTCGAAGGAAGTATGTAGATATTTGACTTTGTATTGAATGCTACATATGTGGAAAGATACTGACAAACTTATCGGGCGTGAAGCTAATATTGTCAGTTACTTAATGATTAAGTTATCTCTAGTGAATAGCTACTAGATATTTCTACTTCTGGTACCTTGAATGAAACTTTCATTAAGTTCTTTTTTACTCAGTAGTATGAATGAATAGTTAATTCAATTAACTTACACACAACCACAGCTCCACTTAAAAATGCCACGATGAGGGAAAAGTAGGGTTAGAGATTCCTTGCCTCATTCACCCTAATAACGATACCAAGAGAGTGAAGTATATGCCGTCGAAGTTTTGTCAAGAGCTGAATTGGGGAAATAAAGTAGGCATTGTGGCGCACCTTTCAATGCAAATAGAACTTTGCCATTGCTGATTCTTCTGAACCCTTTTCTTTCTTCTGTTGGTAGAGTAGTAACAACCAAACAACACCAGATTCAGATGTCATCCTTCAACCTGCCAAACAATCACACAACCATAATCTCACAGCACCATGACTGGACATACAACCTTGGAAGTTCGCACACAACGGCGATTTGGCGAGACTGCCAAACCTGGGAGTCATTTGTATGTGGATGGCACAACAGAGAACCATTCGGCAAAGTACCACACATTCCCTTCAACAACTGAAAGAAAACAAGGAGGTGGAAAAGATTAGAGCACTGGCGCAAAATCATCTTTTCTTACTCCCATTAATAATGGTAGGTCTCCAACCGCAGGTCCTCTCAAGTAGGTTGAGAACTAATGCAGAGAAGGCTTTTCAACAACGACCCCCCTCCTGAAACTACCAAATGACCTTCTCTATATCATTTTCGACGAACTTGAAAAGGATGGAAGCTCTCACGAAACATTGCGCGCGCCAATTTCTCTCATGTTAGGAATGACATGTAATCGACTTTATGATCTACACTGGGAACGTCACGGCCGAGTTGAACTTATCTTTATACCTCCTATATTTGGCGAAGAGGAATGGAAACGACAGATCAGAAATTTATCTTACCCACTGCTTCCATTTGTTGTGCAAAAATATGCTGGTCAGACATGTTCCAACAGAAAATATACCATCATGTTGCCGGCGCGTTTACCTAACGACTACCGAATCCTATTCTTTCCGTCTGTCCACAAAGAACAAGGGAATTTTGGCTATGAAGTATCGAGCATTAAAGCAATAGGTGGTCAAGCTTTGGATCGCGGTCCTCGGTATAATGTTGAGAATTAGTTAATGCGATGGAGAAGTTCACGAGGGATGCTCCTAATATTTCAATAAACAACTCTGCAGGAAGTTGTCCCTCATCATTTTAGGCGACGTTTACAACTCGAGTTTTCCGAATAAATAGATAGAGCAGACCAAATGCATTGTCATTTATTAACTATCTCGCCCATGAAATATGTTTCCAGTAAAGTCATGGTACGGTGAAAAGGACATAGGTAAGTTTGCCTCCTCCTGAACCTTCTAGTGTAATAAGTAAATTAATTTTATTCACAGCAATGGTAACAAGCTCTTTGTGTTAAAACTATATACATTAAAAGTCATTATCAGTTAAGGATTTATATACATGTATGAATTTCGGTTATCCTAAGTGGCCATAGTCGCGGAATTAATACACCGCCAAATATACTAATTTCGAAGATGGGATTACTATCTCTTGGACCTCGTCTATGTCTTACATTTCGAATTATACGTTTACGATTTCCATTTGAAAGGTCAGACTAGCCGGAATAGTGCCTCAGCACGCTACGGGGCTTGGTCCGACTTGCTTCGCACTACTTAGGTTATAGTATTATTGAGTACCAAGACCTGAAGTAGATGCCGCCAGAAATGCGAGGTCCAGGACATACGTATGCGTCATGTGACCGTATCATCTCTCCTATCTCTCCTATGGACAAGTAGAGTTTAAGGTCCCCTAGCCCAAGCTTCTGAGGGTATTTCACTACCATCTCAAGGCGGTACCTTTTGCCTCTAACAAGCTTATCATCACAATGTGTTAAATATCGCCGCCCCCTCCCCCTCTCCTTTTTTTCAATCTCCATATTTCTAAGTTTTCAAAAGATCTCCAGACATTTCAGTGAGAGGGCCTGATAAGTCGTAGTAGATTTAAGTGTATAGAACAATTCTCCTGAAATATTCTAACACTTCGCCTGAGGTGTTGTTTATATACCTACAGTCAGTGCCCACTTATACTCGGCGGCTTGTGAAACCTCACCAAAAACAGCATTTTTGCCTACTTTGCGACAACATATAAATCAGTCCCAACTCGATACTTTTGTCTGTAACTAAAGACTTGGATAAATTCGATCTTTTTAAATCTTTGGATTCAATGCGCAAAGCCTAAAATTAAATTTGGTGTTATAGTATTGATTCAATTCGGGTAGTGTGATTTTTAGGTGGATTTTCGTCTATTTTTGGTGTAAAACGTACACTCTTACACTTTACCTAACTTTGGTCCTTGATAACTTTATATGCTCAACTTTCTATTACAATCTGAGTTAATGAAATTATACGCAATGCTCGAATTACTAATCCTTATAAGTATTAGCAATTCTTATTATGGTGGTGGTAGAATTAATTCATGTTGCTTTCCATGATTATTATTATTATTATTATTCCTTTTAACGTGCTGTGTGAGTCTGAGACTATAGTAGCACGGCTGGGGGTTTCCCTCCAACAGATGAGTAAAGCTGTACTAAATACATGTTTGAGAAGGGGTTTATGGTCATTACAGTTCTTGGGTTGTTGGAAGCAGCTAGGCTTCTGGTTATGACAAAAGAAAAGTTGTTATGTTGTAGTATGCCCCCTCGTTTCACGCCCTGTACGCTACACTTCCTCGTTCTCGTCTTCCTCGTCCTCATCTTCGTTCTAATCCTCAGTTGCGCGTTGTGTGTGCCATATTCTAGTGGCGATTTTGGTGGTTCGAATAAAGTCAAGTGTGGCCTCGACTCCTTTGGCGGTGTGAAGGAGGGATTTCATGGTGAACTCTCGAATATGATGCTTGAGGAGGTTGCGCTTTAGTACTTTCCTAGCATCCCCAGTTTCTGGACAGCTAAGAAGGAGGTGAGTGGGAGTCTCTTGTCTTCCACATCTACAGCGGTTGTTGGTAGTGTGGCCGAGCTTGTGTAGGTATGATTTGAAGTATCCATGGCCTAGCTTAAGCTGATAAAAGGCGCTGGCTATCTCTCTTTTTGTTCCTTGGGGGACGCAAGGTTTCGACAGAATCTTCCATGGGAATTCCCTTCGATACGAGTGTTGGTTAGTTGATGGTTCTGTGTGCCGGGGGGGTGTAGTAAGCTTTTGACGCCATTCTTTGTTCTGGGTCTGCCTGATCTTGACTCCTAGCATAGCAAAGCTAGTGAGTTGAGTGGATGGTTGGATTGTGGTGGCGGCTTTTGCAAGCTTGTCTGCTTTCTCATTTCCTGGAATGTCGGTGTGACCTGGTACCCAGTGAATTGTGGTAGTAGCTCCCTTGCTAACTGCCTTCCGGGCAGCTGTGATAGCTCTGATTTGGCACTCTTGCCCTGGGTTATCTGATGTGGTTTTTAGCCTCCGTAAACCTGCCTGGTTGTCGGAGTAGATGTGGAAATGGATCCCTGGTCTAGCGTGCTTGGCAGCGTATTCAACTGCTAGCGTGGCCCCTTCAACTTCACCGTTGTAGACGAGCTTGTTTGGTCCAATGTTGACTTTCTTTTCGTAGTGGATTCTGTTTGATTGAGGTGAGATTACAGACAAACCTACCCCAATTCCTTGGCTATTTTCTGTTGTTGTAGAGGATGCATCTGTGTAGATGAAAATGCTGTTATCTGAGTTGTTTTGGAGTAGACGAAGGTGAAGTTTAGTTTCCTCTTCTTTTGAAAGTTTGCTAATGTGAACCTTGTAAGGAGTTTCTCTTTCCCATGGAGGGAAGTGGAAGTGGTGTATTTGCTCAAGGTCTTCAAGGTTGTATAAGTTGCTAATAGAGCGGTGGATTCGCTGTAGTTGAGGAGTTGCCGGCTTCTTTTTCCTTGGAGTTGCTTGAGTATTGAGGAGCTTGTCGATAGCGTGGTTGACTGGGTGTGATGGTGAGAGTTTGAGTAGACGGAAAGCATACATCCTCAAGGAGGAGGAGAGGCGAACTTCAGGAGGTGGGAGGGCGCTTTCTACTTCCATTGGGAGGATAGGAGTGGTTTTGAAAACCCCTAATATCTTTCTAATTGCAAGGTTTTGGAGTTTTTGAAGTAGAGTAGTGAATTGTGCTTGGCCTCGCCACCAGATGGTTGACCCATAGTCTGCGATACTTGTAACGCATGCTGTGTACAGCTGCCGGAGGGCAAAGGGTGTGAGTCCTTTGGAGTTGTTTGCTAGCCTTGACATCCTGAAAAATGCGCCTCTAGCTTTTGCTACCTTGGTAGCGACGTGGTGCTTAAAAGATAGTGCTGGGTCAAAGTAGATGCCTAACCACTTAATGCATTGTTTTGGGTGAACGGTTTGGTGGTTGGGGAGGTTGAGTGTGAATTCTTCTGTGTCCTTTGAATTGGTCCAGTGTATGAGTTCTGTTTTATCGAGGTCGAAGGCAATGCTGTTCTCATTTGCTAGCCTGTAGAGTTTCGTGGCTTCTGCTTTTAGTCTTTTAATGTTGTTTTTGAGGTGGCGGGAGGCTGTTGTAGGGGAAATATCGTTGACGTAGGAGATCCATGTAATTGTAGTAGACTTGAAAAGGTCGCGAATGTAGATGAGAAACAGGATTGGAGATACA